ATTTTCACAACCATTAGTGGTTACTCTATCAGTCAGTACAGTACACAGGAGCGCTGAACTCCAGTCATTATGCTCATGAGATACAATATTTTTCTTTTTATCTTCTTACATTAGAGTTGGTTTTAATTTTAAGAATCACGCTTCCAAGATTTTTATATTTCCTTCCCCATGAACCCATTTCCCCGCTGTAAAAAAATACTGCCGTTACTTCATTCCTCCAAAATGTAACTTGTATTCGGATCAAAAAGGGCATAATCTCCCTGTGTATCTCCCCAGCCACATCGCCTGCTATCTCCACATCATCCTTTACACACTAGCAATGTATAAATAAGGGCCTGGTTACCAGCACCTTGGGCTTGGGTCTCCCTGACACTTTCCCTTGCTCTCTAACCTGCTCACTCTGACTGAGTCGTTGGGGCTGCTTTCTGAAGAGGACTCCATGCGAAAAATAAACAGAAGGAGGAACTGGGGGCTCAGTCCAGCCACCCACGTGGAACTGGATCCTGTCAACCACCACATGGGTGAACTGCGAAGTAGATCCTTCTGGGTCAACTCTTGAGATGACTCTCTCAGAGCCAGAGGTCACAGTTAAGCCACTCCTGCCTTGCTGGCCCACAGAAGCTGTGACAAAAAGTATGTGTGTTTTGAGTCATGTTTTAAGCTGTTTGGGGCTAATTTGTTATTCTTCAGTAGATAATTAATTCACTCACCTGGTATGGTAGTTATAAGGATAAAAACAGGTAATATAAAAATGTATCTAGTTGTTGTAGCTTGGGGTTTTGCAAGGGGAACAATACATGACACATATTTTATAGAATTGTTTTATAATAGTCACCCAAAGAATCATTTATAAAGAGAGTGCAGAAAATCTGTCCACACACTAAAGACCAAAGAATCCAGCTAAGGGCCTGGATTCCACAACAATGTCCTGCATGAGTCCAACTGTTATGGTCTATTTATACATAACAATGCCCCTACGAGCCCAACTGGAGGCCAAGGGCCCACAGCAATGTCCATGCAGGCCTGTTTCACGTATCTGCCTGCACTGGGAAGGCCCGAAGTTCAGCGGTGGAAGCTAGAAAGTCTGTGCCACTGGGATGAAGGATCTGTGCTAGCAGGCTGAGGGATCTGCACTGCAGCCAGGAAGCGATCTGCAAAGTAAGAACCAGCGCTCCCCCAAAAAGGTATCACAGCCATCCTCAGCAACAGTGAGGTCCTGAGCTCCTCCGATGATCAGGACAGCTGAGGTCCCATCAGGAAAGCCAAGCTTCTCCAGGAGACTGAGCAGTGCACCATCTTCCCCTCTGGAGCCAGGAAGCAATGCTCAAAGTGAGGGCCAGAGCTCCCCCAAAGTGAACTGTAGCCATTTTCAATGAGAACAAGGTCCCAAGGTCCTTCGACGAAGAGAACAGCCAAGTTCATCAGGAAAGCCAGCATGAAGAGCTCCTCCAGGAAAACCAACAGCACCCTACAGCTTCTCAACAGCTTCCAAACAGCTTCCAACAGCTTCCCTAACAGCTTCTAACAGCCTCTTATGCTTCCGGGAACAACCCTCAGGTGGGCCTCCTGTACCCAGCATCACACTGGTTCAGTTCAGCTGAGTGTTACAAGTCGACCACCAGTGGTCATGCACCACAGGGGTAAAAGACCCCCACCAGGAACATGGAGCACAGTGTTAGTTAGATGTACTCTCCCCCACGGCTGTTTCTTCTATCACCACCACGGTCTAGGCACTCATGGCCAATTCCTGCAATAGCTTTGCTAACTGGTTTCCTTGCTTGCCTCTGTTCTGCTGTTTAGCTTCTTTAAGAAACAAAACTTCAAGAGCTTCCTGTTTCGTAAAGACCACCCATCTGTCCCCGTCCCGTATTTCCAAGGTGAATTCCCATGATGCTTACCCGTCTCACCACTACACTAACATTCATCTGTTACTGTACTCTAAATACAGGTCACGTCTCCGCATCCTACTCACCTTAGTCATTCATTTTTACCCTTTGAGTATTCATTCCCTTTTCTCCTAAATGACAAACGAGCGCTCTCCTTACCCAGTCACCACCGGTAAACATCCGGGACCTCCTTCACTCCGCTTCTCCAAGCCTCACTAAACCAGAGTGGACTTTTCCTCCCCCTAAATTAGTAGTACTCATTTATTTGATATTCAAAGTCATCTAGATAGAAAAGAAGCAGGATAAACTTCAGAAAGCAGTGAGTTGAGGATTCACTTTACAGGTAAAGAAACAAGGCCAGGGCTGCGTGTGACTCAACTCCATAGTAACAGCTGTGGGACTAAAATTCAAGCCTCACAACATTCACGTTACTCAAGTCTAAAAATATTTGCCCAGGAGAGGGAGAGAGGGAAAGGGCAGAATGAAAAAAGCCCTGAGATGTGTTATGTACATGCACCAACTCCCCACCAGGAATGTGACCTTTACACATGCCAAACATGTGCTGATGAAAACTAAAAATTGAAAAATACATTAAAATGAAAATATTTGCCAACTTGCTATAAGACACTATAAAATTTCGGGGCTGGGGCTTTAGCTCAGCGGCACAGTGTCTGCCTGGCAAGCGCAAAGTCGTGAGTTCGATCCCTGGTACCGGGGAAAAAAAAAAAGACACTATAAATTTCAACAGTTTTTACCAATAGGCCATTCATTTACTTAGTTAACCAAAAAAAATTAAGTCCTATTTACCAGATACTCAGAATAAAGAGGTTGCCCACGAGGAATTCACAATAGCAATGGGGAAAATGGGTAGAGCAACAATTACAATACGTTTGATATGAAACTGCAAAGGAGAAAAGAAAGAAAATTCCCCATACCCCAGCTTTGGTCTTTCTGACCCTTCACTCATCTACTGACTCATGCACTTGAAAAGATTAGATGGACAGATAAACAGATAAAATTCTTACTTTCTGAAAGACAGAAAGTAGGGGAAAAGATGTTACCCTGAAGCAAATCCTGAGGAGGGGGGCAGGAATGTCAGTATTACCATTTAAAATGTTTTTCTAACATATCAAATCTGCAAACTTTGGCGTTTATAATCTGAAAAAACACATACGTTGTCCTTCCTTCAGAGTCTGTGTTTTGGAGTGAGAAAATCCCTAAGTATTTTCAGTTTACAATTTATTTGTTGAGTGACCTTAAGCAAGTAGCTTACTCTATTTTCTTATCTTTAAAACAGGAATAATACATACTGCGCATGGTATTTGGGAAAATTAAAACCTTCATAAATACCATTTTCATGTAATCAATACAAAATAACACAAAAGTTGTTTGATAACTAAAACCCATTCAATTTAATTAAGTAGGCACTGCATTGTCAAAATTATAAATAAAATTTCTCTAGTTACTAGCTCTCCAAAAAATTCTATTTCTTAACAAATTTTTCTAGAATTGTAATAACTGGATAAGTCCTTTTACTATTTTCAGGCAGCAATATTTGAGAATCCATCGTATAGTAGTTGCCATGTGGAAATATAAAACCTTCTATTTAAGAAGTTTAGAATCCAAACGAGAACACAGAAAAATAGCTTTGTACAAAGCAAGCAAATACAGTCTTGTGGATTTAGTCACAGAGATACCAGAAAAGAATGCCAAGAATACGGTTCAACTTACACAGGTAAGTGTAATAATCAGAACAAAGTGGAGTAAAAGGAAAAATTTTATATAGGATGTTTTACAGAATAGCAGATACCTTTTATGTTGACTATATTAATAGGGTTTAAAATGTGTGGTTATTATGCGGTCTTCGGAGCTAAAATTATTTAAGTGGCCACACTCTCCATGATTCTACACAAATATACATAAAAAATAGTTTACTGATATTGTATGAAATGTCCCACATGTTATTCCTCACTAGCAATTCATAGTTCAATAAACTGTGGAAAACTGAAAGGAGAATGTGTGCTAAAACCTCATTTACATCGATCTTTATAAGTGTATCAGTAATACACTGCTTCAGATGATTTGTGTCTAATTTTCACTGGATAAAGTTGTACCTGTAACATACTCTACAAGTAATCAAGGGAGTTCAATCTATTAAGAAATATGTTGTCTCCAGATTTGGTGGTCACCTGAATTTTACATTTATAAGATTCTTGTACAGTGTACCACATAAACATTTTTGCAATTTATAGTATACCAAAAAATATGAATACTGAAAATGTGACAACAAAAAATAGATTTATTTTGTGTTTAAATAATTCCATACCAAAACATTTTGCTGAAAATGATTTTTAATCTATAGATAAAAAACATTCACTCCAAGTTCCTAAGTTTAGTTCTGGGTCGTCACTTAGTTTAAGTCTGTTTGTTGGTGTATGTATATCCGTGTGTATGGATAACCATAACATACGTTCACAGCTGTTTGTTTGGGGAACTTTTTTTTCTTTTTTGTAATGTGAAGAAATTCAAAGTTACCAATTCTTTAAATGTGTTAGTTTAGATTCTTTATGCGCCTTTCATGAAAGATACATGTTCATTCATTTTACTGGTGGAAGACCTGTCTGTCAGATCTGCATTGTGAGCTCTGCATGAAATTTAACTATAATATGAATAAATGTGAATGAGAAATAAGGTTGAAAAAGCCACAAAGAAGCATATATTGGTTAAGCCAGGCATGGTAGTGCACACTTTAATCCCAGCACTCGGGACGCTGAGGCAAGAGGATTGTTGTGAGTTCGAGACCAGCCTGGGCTACAAAGTGAGCTCAAGGCAAGCCTGAACTGCATAGTGAGATCTTGTCTCAAAAAGACAAAAAAAAAAAAAAAAAAAAGAAGCATATATTGGTAACCATCATTCATGAATTCCTAAACTTTATTCTGTGTCATGTTACTAATGAACCCTAATAAATTTTAAATTTTGAAGTTTTAAAATTAAAAAAGAAAAAGACACTCCAAATGATATTCAGAGAGACTAGCATATAGCTCATTGGCAGAGTGCATATGTAAGGCCCTGGGTTTGATCTCCCACACCATAAAAAGAAAAAAAAGTTCAAGATACATTTTCTTTTAAAACAAATTTATAGCAAGGCTTACAATGATTTCAATAAATCAGGCACTCCACAACACAATGTACAGGTACAAAAATTACATGATGATTGCTTTATATTGGAAGGGGACAAAGATCTTCAAATATGGAAAGAAACTAGTCTTTTTACAATGTTGATCTCTAAGAACTAGTCTCCTTTGTAGACTACAATATTATTGTCAGTTTCATATACTTTTACTTTATAAAGAACTCCCACAGGAAGAAATTTCTGGAGGTTCTCCCAGATATATACAGCTACATTTTCTGTCGTGCTGTAGAAAAAAAAAGTAAAGAAGTTCAAAATGCAAATAATAAAAAATATAACTTCATGCTTAATATTTACAGAAATTTTAGTATTGAGTGACATAGTAAACTAAAACTCCAGAAATCACAAGTAATCTGATAAAATATTAGATCCAATTCTTTCTTAGTCTTTATGTAAGGCAAGATAGTGACACCCACCTGACAACATTGGCAAAGTACGGCACATCCAGATCCAGGTTCTTGTGATCTAGGGGCTTTATAATTGCCTCCTACAAACAAAAAAAAAAGGGGGGGGGGAATCATTGATTCTGTTTATTACTCAGATTCTAAAAGGCTCCACCTAAGCCTCTCAACCTTAACATATTGTTTAACCATGAACTCAATACTAGTTAAGTGTTATATCTTTGTATATTTCTATAAACAATCTTAAAAGGTATAAGTCAAGCCTAGCCTCTGTGATGATTAGTTATTCTTGTTAATGAAAAACTACAGAGGAGAACTCCTACAGCTGTCTTGAAACACAAGCCACTGTGACTCAGAAGACAGGTTCATACTTTGTGAATTCTGCCCCAAAGGTTACCAGAAACATTTCCACAACAGTTCCCTACAGAACAATGCCACAATATCATTGGACAAAGATCCAAACTGAGCACTGTATTTTATAAAGCAGACCTAGACTGAAATTATATATGTAGTTCTAAATTTCTGTTATCAAGAGTAACTTAAGAATGACCTTGGGCTCTGAGAGGAAAAGGTGTAAATATTTAAAGACTATGAGTTCTTAACGCTTACATATATTAATACAACATTTCTTTTTTCTTGTTGTTAGCAAGGATTGTAATTGCCTTTCCTTTCTGGATCTTTACTTTTAGCTCTTGAACAAAAATCTAAGCATTTATAAAACTAATTTTCTATACTGTATGGTTTTAAATAATCAGAATAGGAATCATTTCTTGAGCAAAACCAGAATCATATACAGTGTAAATATTAGGTCAATTAGTTTTTAAATAGATCAAATGAAGCAATATCTCAAAAGAATATCAAGAAAATATATCTTTGCTTTATCTTCCCACCCAGTCCTGGTCCCAACATCTCTACTGAATTTCATTTAAAATGCTGTGAGCCACTTTTATTTTTTGTCTTTCCTTTTTTTTTTTTTTTTTTGGAGACAGGGTCTCGCTATGCAGTTCAGGCTGGCCTTGAGCCCACTTTGTAGCCCAGGCTGGTCTCGAATTTCTCATCGATCCTCCTGCCTCAGCCTTCTGAATGCTGGGATTACAGGCGTGTGCCACCACACCCGGCCCCCGAGCCACTTTTAGTAGGGAATGTGGTGTACATCAGATACACAAAAGAGAAAAAAAGCACAGCAAACCTCAGTCATAGGGTTGCTTGAAAGCTCTCTAGTATTGCCTTAAACTGTGTATTTATATTTTATGCTCCCAGTAAACTCAAGAACTGTCTTTCTACCTTCCTAAAGTTCTTTGAGCACAGTGCTGTTTGCTTGTTCACTCATTCTCTTGTTTATTTATCCAACCAACGATTTTTGAGCACTTACTAATTTTTACATCCTAGAAAAAGTAACACACACAGTCTGTGGGCTACGGCTCTCCATCTCTGTATTCCTAATACTTTGATCAAAAAACTGATGCAAAGCAGGCAAATTTGTTGAATATATGGATAAGTAATAGGAAAGAAGTAACAATTATTAACAGAACTTTTATGAGACATCAAATTTTATAATAAGAGTTGCACAGCTGAAGGGAAAACTAAGTAAATGGTTGAAATGATATCATAACAGAAAGAGCTGGGTGGGACAGATCTCCTTCCAACTTCACATACAACCAACCACATGAGCTGGGGAAAATTAGTTAACTGTCTGGCATCTCTCAACCTTCATCTACAAAGTGAAATACCTGGTTTGGGTAATCTCTTCTAAAATCTCATCATACAAGCCTGGCCTGGTGATGCACACTTGTAATCCCAGAACTCAGCAGGCTGAGGCAGGAGGACCCTGAGAGTTTCAGGCCAGCCTGAGCTACATAGTGAGTTCAAGACCAGCCTGCACTACAGAGTGAGACCCTGTCTTAAAAAGACAAAAATAAATAAATAAAATCCCTTACAATGCAAGAGGTATGTGATAACACAATCGATAAGTTCTTTATTGAATACTTGTGTGTTACTTCCATAATGAACTATCCCAGTAAGTTCATGACAGAACCAGAGTGATTAACAAAAGGTAGCATTAAATATCTATGATTAAAGCCACAAGGAATAGTCAGAGAAGTAACAGACAGCTTCAAGGAGAAAGCTATGTCTTGAAGAAAGTATAGACGTCGTTAAATGGAAGAAATCGGGGAAAGAGGAAAAGAGGTGAGCAGGGTGTATTTCTCCCGATTGCTACAACACATTCATGACTACTTTCCATTATGAAGACATCTAAAAGGGCAAGCAGTTCTTCCAACTGGTCTTCCACACCCACACCCAACTCTGCTTATAAAGTTACGGAACCTCAGCAGGGGACTGAGGCGGCAAAAAGGTGCCACTAAAAATGTACAGAGAGGACAACACACGACAAGCACCCAATATGGCATTACCTCCATATATTTTTTTAGGTCAGTCAAATTCATAACCATTCCTGTAACGGGATCAATCTAAAGAAGAAAAAAGAGTGAGTAACCCTAATAGGCTCCCCATGTTTAAGCTTCTGGAAAATTGTTAAAGGCTGTACAATGTACACATGGTGCCCGCGTATTTCAGAGATGATCTTCGATCTCAGCACAGAAGTAACATGTGCTTCAGTGCCCCTCTCACTGTGCAGCTTTTCTACCTCCCTGCACACAGCACGCTACAGACAACACTGAGAGAGGAGAGGCCTAGCACAGCAGCAGCTCACCACACACACAGGACAGCAGTGAGGCAAGCGAAACAGTTGGCTGAACAGGGGCACAGCGATCTAAACAAAGCACACAAATATTTTCGGCACATACCTCTCCATGTACTGTCACCACAACTAGGGGGAAGGAAAAAAATGCCAAAAACAACATGATTTTCAACAGACAAACATTCAAGCACAAGTCACAATATGAATCATTAGATCTCTATCTCCTGAAGCTACACTTACGTTTTCCCCCGAAAGTCTGTCCTTTTAGGTAAGACCCTTGTATCTACCAAAGCAAGATTCAACCAAGGTGGAGAACCTTCGCAGGGGCTCTGGCTAACTAGAGCAAATTAGCGATGGCGAAAGCGGAATAAATTCTGCTTACAATGTTGGTACACAGGGAGGAGCGAGCTACTGCTCGATGTCTACTTATAGAAGTAGAAAATGGACACGCAGGTGTCCAGCTACTCACTAAATTGGCCCCATTCTCGACAGTACCTTTCTGAGCAAGCAAACTTCTGAAAAGAGAAACAGCTTTCTCCTTGAATAAGAAAAAACTTGTTCTTTTATTGACAACAATACAGCCTACAGTAACCTTATAAAACAGTGCTGATATGAAGCACTTGGAAACTCTTGATGAGTAGCTACTTTACAAATCAATAACTTCTAAAAATTTGTATTGTCTTCAAGGCCACACAAATACCATTAGGTATTCCATAATAAATGAGGACACTGAGAGTGAGTGACAGCACAGATAAAGTAAGAGGCGGTCACTAAATGCGAAGCCTTGATCTTTTGATGCCTTCCCCGCTGTTTGAAAATGCCACTACACCACGCAGCTATTTTGCGAGGCATCAGCTGTGTCCCAGAGAATCGAATCTCTTATTTTTGCATAACTTATAATACTAAACTTTCGGGGCTGGGGATTTAGCTCAGCGGCAAAGCGCCTGCCTGGCAAGCGCAAGGTCGTGAGTTCGGTTCCCGGTACCGGAGAAAAACCAAAAA